TTTAGGATTGCAGTATTCATTCCTTAGTTGATTTGTTGGGATATACTAACAACAACAGCTAGGAAAAACAGGCAGTATGTTAACTAGAGAAAGCATTAGAAAAGATTCTAAGTACAAACTACCTATTGAAGAAGTGTGGTTAGTTGCTGATGGTAATGCCTACTCACCCAATAAGATTTAAGGAAAGGAAGATCTGTTTGTATCTTTTCGGGACAGAAGATTGGGTCTAGGGACATTCTCATCTACTGAAGTATTTCTAGTTCGTGTTGTTTACAGGAATTAATGGTGTTTCTGCATTGATTTCTTTCTCTCTCTTTTTGCTGTGAATTATGTACTTGTAATCTGATCATTTCTATTTTATTTTGTAATGAAAAACTTTAGATGGGTTGTTCTAAAAGGCACTATGTTTCAGAAGTGTTTCCCCTCCCTCACAACAGTGATTTTCCTAACCCTGTCAATGTTCCTCAGATATCATCCACCTTAATGTAATGTATTCATTAATGGGAGTACTGCAATCATGGATTAACTGCCTTATTTTTTACTGATGAATCAAATAACTTTTTCCTCAATGGACTGGCCTAATCATGAAAATCCAGCACATACGGTAACTTGCTTTTATCAAATCCTGTACAGATGCCCAACACAGTTCAACAGTATGCCCCATAAATCTTTTATTACACTCCACAATATTGTGTTATATAATTAATATTTTCTTGACCCTGATGTCTGTATTTTTCAAAGGCATGCCAAGTAAAAAGCCCACCTCATAACACCAGAAGGAAGAGGGCTGCAGAAATCATACAATGGCTCACTTCCTAGGGTTGCCGGTCTGTGGGTCTGGGTATGGGTGGGGGTTCCCCTCGTTTTCGGTGTTTTGCCTGCTGCTAGCCAGCTGGACGACGGGGGAAACCCCACCCCCAAACAGCCACATCCCTGCGCAATGTCGCCAATGCAATGACATCACTTCCGGGTGATGCCATCACGTCGGGGACATCGTGCAGCATCCCCACCCCCTCCATGAATGCCCCCCCCAAATCCCCCCACCAGTGATAAGGTAGGACTTGGCAACCCTATCACTTCCTATTTTGGCACCCACAATTCTGAATATACAGCAAGTGTTTAAAAACACGAAACAATAGGTGGCTTGAAAACACACTCTGGGACCCAAGGCAACATGAAAAATTTGCTTAGATTGTTCACCAGTTGATGCAGGTGCGAGACTGCAGAAGAGTGATGCACAGATTTAACAAACAGGTGACAAACAGGACCATTTCATGTTGGGGAAAAAGTAAGAAGGCTTCAACTCTCTTCCCTGTGGTCCCAATAAGAACCAGACCATTGCCCGAAAATTAAAATTTAAATAATTGCTGGGAGCTCTAAACACAGGACTTCAAGTGCATGTCAGGTTTGGCCCTGAAAACTAGGCTTCAGTTAAGTGGTTTTATCTCTCGACACCAAAACAAAGCACTTCCAATGTCCAGATTCCAGAGTAGAGATGGAAGGCACAGATGGACTGATAACAGACAAGGCTTCAGAAAATTGCTTCCTTTCTGGAAAGCAGAATAATAAGTATCTCTGCTTTCTCAGCTAGGGCATTTTCTGCTTGCAAAAATGATTGAAAATCATTTTCACAGCAGTTGCAACAAGCACAATTGGGTACAAGTGCAGCTCTTTTTATTCTAATAACCAGACCTGTTGCCAAGGGCCAGACAGACAAACTTTCAGCAAGCCACCATTTTTTCCTGTGATCCGCTATAAACAGAATAACCTGAGAGTCTTTGGACCTATTTTGTTTCATATAGTCACCAATCATCTAATAAAAAGACTAAACAACAGCGTGGTAAAATTTGCAATCAGGAAGTACTCAATAGGCCAGAGGTCCCAAACGTGGCACCTCTGGATTGCCAAGGCGCACACTAAGACCTTTTCTGTTGTCCTCCAAATGTTTTTAGAATGTGGGCAGGGACAGATGTGGCTTTTGCCCAGCAGGGCTTCCAGTTGGCCAATGGAGATCTGATTGGCTGTGCAGACCTTAAAAATCATTGCTTTGGCAGCAGCTGCCACCACAACAAAAGGATCTTCACTGTGTAACTGAAGGTAAACTATGTGTAAGCAAGAAAATATTTTAAAACAATTTTTTTATTTTTTAAAGGTGATCTACCTCTAGAAACTATGAGACTGGCATAAAAACAACACTATTAATCTACTTGATTTTAAAATCAAACGTTACATTTGGGGTACTTTTTTGTTTGCTTGTTCAGGCAATGGCTAGAAGAGATAGAATGAAGTTTTCTTTTGGGGGGGGGGGGGACAGAGCAACACAAAAGTGCCAGGGTTTCAGAACCTCTACATCTAGGTCCACTGACTAAACAAAATCTGCAGAATTTTATTTATGCTGATACAGAATCCAAGTAAATGCTGTTTTATTGCAGTCTGCTTTAATTTGTAGATCTCAGATATCTGGTTTATTCTGCTGATTTTATCTTTTTCAATAAATTAACTATTAAAACATTATCTGTTAATAATTTTATTTTTATTTCTTTGATTTGTAAACCACATTAGTGACCTTGCATTGAAAGTTTTTTTTAAAAAAATTAACCATGTAAATGTATATATTGCAGCCATGCAAATACTTACAAAAAAGACCAGCCTGTAACATTTAACCATTCTACTCACTGCCTTCATGCCTCTGTCAATGGCTCACAACGCATGAACATAAGGCAGTCTTCAACCTGTCCTTTGCCCGGGACAAGTAACTATGAAGAAAACCATTCTAGTAATTTCCTTACCCCCTACCTGACAAGCAAAATGTTTATCACAAAAACAAAAAGTAAACACAAAAGCAAATACCTCCATTACAATTCTGATGTAACACTACCTCTATCACCCTACGAACCAGTCCCATATGGATTTATTTACCAAATGAGGTCATGATTAGAAGTCCTGCTCACCCATCAGATTCCAAACTGGATAGGTAAGCACCAGAGACGAGACCTTTTCAGTGGTGGCGGTGGCCAGAAATCCCTCTCCACAGAAGTTTGAGTAGAGCCAAATCTGAATTATTTTAGGTATCAGGCAGAAACATTTTACCCTCTCAAGTGTTTTAGATGTCCTGAAGTTGATTTTAGTCCTGGGTTTCAGTCTGTGGTTTGACAAATACTTTAATGCTGTTTTAAGGATATTTAAAAGCTTCTACTTCAGTTTTAGTTGTTTTGGTTGTCATTTTTTACAGAGAGAGTGATTAAAATTTGGGATTCGCTGCCAGAGGATGTAGTGATGGCCACAGGAATAAACAGGGTATTAGATAGATTCATGGAGGATAGGTCTATCAGTGGCTACTAGCCATGGTGGAACCTCCACATTCAGAGGCACTAAACTTCTGAATCCCAGAGCCAGGAGGCAACATCAGGGGAAGGCCTCGGCCTCTATGCCCTGTGGTTGGCTGTCCAGAGGAACTGGTTGGCCACTGAGTGGCAGAGGATGCAGGACTGGATGGACCACTGGTCTGATCCAGCAGCCTGTTCTTATTTTTTTCTAATTTTTATTTAATGTGTTACTGGTTTTATTGTATATCAAGATGTGTAACCTTGTTACTCTGTCTGTGGCAGTAGAAAAGAGCAAGAGTCCAGCAGCACCTTAAAGACTAACAAAATATGTGGGTTTTGTATGAGTTTTTGTGGGTCACTGCTGCTGGTGCTTGTTGTGCTACTGGACTCTTGCTCTGTTCTACTAGTTTTATTGCACTAGTTTATGTAGACTGACTCAAATATATTTAGTAAGAATGAGGTAAGATATAAGGATTTTTGAGAAATAAGTATAACTGCTATGGAATAGGTTATTGGGTGAAACCATCTCAGAGTGTAGGCAGATGCTTGAAGAAACTAAAGCAGGCCCCGGTCACACGGGAGGATTTGCCCTGTGGGAGGGACGGATCGGGGGCACATCAAGCGGGCGCGATCATACCACAACATCTGGGAAGCAGAACGCACCCGTTCCCGATCCGTCCCTTCCAGCCAAAAACCTGCCGCAAAAAGGTAGCATCAAAAGAGTACTACCTACCTGTTGATGCGCAGCACGGGCTGGTGTCTGATCGCCAATATGCCCGTCTCCCTGCAGCATACGGAGGCCCTGTAGAATTGCACATGCGCACACATGCGCAGCGGGCTCGCCTCACTCACCTATCTGTGGCTTCCCCCCGGCATCTGATCATGCCAGGGAGCAACTGCCGCACTTCTCTTTTGATGCGGCTCAAAAAAGCCGCACCTTTTCCCCCAGTGTGACTGGGGTCGCAGTGTGGTATAATGAGTAAAGTGTGAACCCACGGACTGGGGAAAACTGGGCTCAAATCCCCAGTCAGCCACAAAGCTCGACTTCACTTTGGGCCAGTCATAATTTCTTAGGTTACTGCACAGGAGCACAGCAAGAACAGTGTTGCCAACCTTCAGGTGGGGCCAGGAGATCTCCTGGAATTACAAGTGATCTACAGACTACAGAGATCAGTTCCCCTGGAGAAAATGGCTGCTTTAGAGGGTGGACCCTATGGTATTATATCCTGCTGAGAGCCCCTCCCCAAACTCTGCCTTCCATAGGCTCCACCCCCCACAATTGCCAGGAGTTTCCCAACCCAGAGCTGGCAACCCTATACAAGAATAGAATACGCAAGCCTCACATATGCTAACCTGAGCTCCTTGGAGAAAAAGGAGCATACAGATCTGATAAATAAATGATCTAGAAAAGAGGGAAAACAACACTAGTATGCTGTTCAGGGAAACAATTGCAGATTATATATATTTCAAGCTCTAAAATGTGCCAAGGGAAAGGTGGTGGTGGGGGGAGACTACTTATCTCTAGCCACATATGAAGACAGTATTTATATTTTGATTGACAGACTTAATTAGATCTTAACGTAACATGCAGATAGTCATTAGCAATACAGTGCACTTCTCTCAAGGAGAATGAAAGGCATGCAGACAGTGAGCATTTTAATTTTATTAACTTACTTTGGGATCTGCACACTTGAACTTCAATCTTTCCACCATCTCTAGCATGACCATCTTCAGGTCAATGCGATCTCTATTCTGAAAGACAAGGAGGGCAAAGGTCACTGGAGAGCATGCTTTTGAACTCACATGAATTCAATAAGGAGTTCCACAAGATGACTGGGGGGAGGTGGAAGAGAAGCAGCAACCTCTCAGTGCTTTCTATTAGCCAAATTGCTACGAGTCCTTGAATATATTCGCTCATTCTTCTGGGACTGAGGTTAAGCAAGCAAAAGGCTTAAGGAAGAAGATAAGATGTATCTGCCAGGAGCGCTGGGAAAAACTACGGGGAGGAAAATTAAATGCATTTGCACAGGCCGCCTCATTCACTGCTTTGTCACACAGCTCAACTGCAAGTTGGGACAAATCCTGCTAGATGGTGAGCATCCCAATGAAGCCAGTAAGTCAGCTGCCTTCCTAAGGGGTGCCAAGTACTCTTCAGCATCAAGCCCTTTTCAATGTGATGCCGGGCAACACTGACCGAACTCCATGTTTCATTTATATTCTGTAATTGGTACTGGCTGCCCGATAACTTAATCCTGCACTTTTGTGCTTCCATTTGTAAAGATGGAGCAGAAGGAAAGAACTAATTAAGGAAGCAATCAAGAGTTCACACTTCAAGGAAGACGCAAAGTGCTAGGCACTTGTGGAATCTCTGGAAAATTTGTTTCTTTTGCTTCGGCTATCTTCTCTCCCAAACAAAATCACAGGTTATACTGGGGGAGGTTGTCTCAATAGCAAAACTTCTTTGAGGCATTTCTTTTCTTTTTTCTGTCCTTGTGACCTCTGTGTTTTGACCAGGAGGAGTATTCTAGACTTCATTCACAACAGATGTCACAGAGAACAATATTTAAGAGACAATGATACCTCTTTAAATATAGTTTGGACTACACTGCATAAACAGCACCGAACATCCTGTTTTGTTGGTGCTACAACCATGACTTTGAACTTGGGTCATATCTCAAATCCCAGTTTTACTACCCCACATTAACCATTCTACGTTGGATGGTCACCAAAATCCAGAGAAGACTGGGCTGCTCTCAATAACTTTTCATCTCCAATAGCAGGATCCAACTCAGATGTGCTTCATTTTTCTGCAATAATTAATCAGGTGATCCCTCCTATATCCATGTTCCCATGATAACATCAGCCAGCTTTGAAAAAAACCAGGTCTGAAACCCATTTTAAAAGGATTAAACAAGAGCTAATCTAGTGCACTGAAAGGCCCCTTGTTCACATCTCACTTCAGTCATGAATTCACCAGGTGGCCTTAAGCAAGCAACTATTCTCAGTCTCCTCACTGCAATATGAGGGCCACGGTATAGGCCAACACAATAGGATTGTTTTAATGATTTCCAAAATAAGCTTTTGAATTCTGCCCCCTTATACAACAATGAATAACCATAAACTGGGAGGAAAAGGCGAGTGTGTTGAATCATCGTGCTACTTAGATACACATAGGCTCTGTTCCTACAATCAGAAATCCTGTCAAAGTCTGGAATCTGTATGTGTATACAGAATACATACATATACATAGGTAGATATACATAGGTAGAGGAACTAGAGATCAAATGGCCAACATTCATTGGATTGTGGAGAAAGCAAAGGAGTACCAGAAAAACATCTACTTTTGCTTCATTGACTACGCTAAAGCCTTGGATTTTGTGGATCACAACAAACTGTGGCAAGTCCTTAAAGAGATGGCAGTACCAGACCACCTCACATGTCTCCTGAGAAACCTGTATAAGGGTCAAGAAGCGACAGTTAGAACCGGATATGGAACGACGACAAGGATGTATATTGTCACACTGCTTATTTAATTTATATGCAGAGTACATCATGTGAAATGCCGGCCTGGATTAATCACAAGCCAGAATTCAGATTGCTGGGGAAAACATCAACAACCTCAGATATGCAGACGATACTGCTCTAATGGCAGAAAGTGAAGAGGACCTAAAGAGCCTCTTGCTCAGATGAAAGAGGAGAGCGCAAAAGTTGGCTTGAAACTCAACTTCAAAAAAACTAAGATCATGGCATCCGGCCCCATCACTCCTTTGCAAATAGAAGGGGAAGTCATGGAAGCAGTGACAAATTTCACGTTCCTGGATGCTGAACTAGATGGGCCATTAGTCTGATCCAGCAAGGCTCTTATGTTGTTAACCTGTGTGTGTGCATTTTGTACACATATGGGCTCTTTCATACTTCATTTCAAATATATCTAACAAACATGGAAGGGGCTAAGAGATGTGATCATGCTTTCCCTTCTATACAGAACGATTCATTAATTTATTTTATTAAATTTATAGCCCACCCTCCCCACATAGCAGGCTCAGGGCAGGTTCCAAACATATTGATCTGCACACCAGTGCTCCCTCTAAGCTGTGGAGTCCTGGGAGCAAAAATTCTACTTTGTGAGCTCCTGGCATTAAAGTTGTGAGCGAGCGATTTTGGCTACTGTATACATTAGTTTGCTCTGGAGCCATCCCTTCCTGAGCTAAGGCAAAAATGCGTGAGCCGGAGGCTGAAAAACTGTGAGCCAGCTCACACTAACTCAGCTTAGAGGGAACACTGCGGCACACAGTGCAGATTTACAATTAAAATTTAAAACACATAAATCAATCAAAATTTAAAACCTAAAGCAGTTTAGTACTAGATGTCCAATATGCCTTGACAGATGATGTTGATACCAGCAATATAGAATCTGCAGTCCCAGGAGGGGGGGCCATATCAGGTGGATGCCCACTGCCGCAACTGAAAGCCTGGTGGAATGAGCTCCCTTATGAGACCAGGGCCCCCGTGGGACCTGTTACAGTTCCGCAGGGCCTGTAAAATGGAGCCTTCCTGGATCAGACTAATGGTCCATCTAGTTCAGTTTCAGTTGGCTCTGCTTCAACCATCCAGGCATGGCTTGTAATGCCCTGTCCAGGTTTTCAGGGGCAGAGTCCGGGTGGCCATCCATTAGTAGATAGAGCTGGGTGTCATTCGCATACTGATGGCAACCCAGCCCAAACCTCCGGGTAATCTGGACAAGGGGAGGCATACAGCTGTTGAATGGCATTGGGGAGATAATCGATCCCTGCAGCACACCACATATCAGTGGGTGCCACTGAGATAACTTCCCCCCCCAGTGCCACCCTCTGTCCCCAATCTTGGAGAAAGGAGGCCAGCCAACGATTACAGTCTTGTTTAGACAACATTATACAGGTTGAAAGAAAGAAGCAAAGAGTGTGCCATCCCTGTCCCACTCCCCAATCACCAAGTCATGAGAACTGCATGTGCATAAAGCGTATTTGTATACACTCCATTCCCAGCCCTGTGATTGAAAACACTGCTTTTTCAAATAGTCCCAAACAAAGGGATGGAGCCTATGTGCATACATTTTATGCACACACATACACTGTGCTCATGACCCAGCAACTATGCACAGACAAGCAGAGGGGCTCCCCCATATGCCCAACATCCACATGTATAATGTCATTTAAAGAGAGCTTGAAATGTCACCCCAACATCTATACAGACCTTTACTTCCTTAAGAAAATTGCTAGAAAATTCTGGATTCACAGAACATGTAAACAAAGAATACTACAACTAGCGTTTATAGACCACTTTCAATGTTTGTAGCATTTCACATCTATATATCTAATAGCCAAGTTGCCCCCGTGAATGCGGATCGCTAAATCAGCGCTCCGGGGGCACTTGGGGGGGGGGAGGTTTGTGCACACGTAGGCCAGTCCCCACGTGTGCACAAAAATGCTAAACCTTGGAAAAAATTTCGGGGGGATGTTTAAATCCCCCCGAAAGTGCAAGACCGTTCCGTGCGCATGCGCACGGAACGGTCTTGCACTTTCGGGGGGATTTAAACATCCCCCCGAAATTTTTTCCAAGGTTTAGCATTTGATCACCAAGTCATGAGAACTGCATATGCATAAAAGCGTATTTGTATACACTCCGTTCCCAGCCCTGTGATTGAAAACGCTGCTTTTTCAAATAGTCCCAAACAAAGGGATGGAGCCTATGTGCATACATTTTATGCACACACATACACTGTGTTCATGACCCAGCAACTATGCACAGACAAGCAGAGGGGCTCCCCCATATGCCCAGCATCCACATGTATAATGTCATTTAATGAGAGCTTGAAATGTCACCACAACATCTATACAGTCCTTCACTTCCTTAAGAAAATTGCTAGAAAATTCTGGATTCACAGAACACGTAAACAAAGAATACTACAACTAGCATTTATAGACCACTTTCAATGTTTGAAGCATTTCACATACATTATATTGTTGCAATCCTTTAAAAAGACATTTAGGGTACACCAGCATTTTTATCCACAAACTGAAGATAAAGGGCTGAAGTCAAGAGTGACCTGACTAAAGCAGCACAGTGAATGTAAACACAACACCTGAAACAGAAACCTTTCAAAGTGCAATCTTGCAGTGATGTCCTATGCAACTTAAACCCACTGAAACTGAGGAGCTTAGACCAAAGTAGCTCTGCACAGGACTGCACTGTTAGTTTTTACGCTAACGAACATACAAAATCCTTATTAAAAAAGAAACATACGGAAACTGTCATTGCCAATGAATTATTACTGCAACAAATTGCTACTTATCACATTAAAAGAGGAATGTTCAGTAGCATTACACATCACACATTCCCCCCCCAAAAAAGCCAGTCTCTTCTTTATAAACCCACCAAACTGCTGAGAGGTAGTTCAGCTGCTACCTTTCCACTACTCAGGTCTTCAACATGCTCATTAAGAAAAGGAGATGAAACAGTCAAAGATGAAGGCATATGTTAAAGTGATCAGATAGATTCTGATACACCAAACTGGCAAAGCGTCTTAAAGAATGATCCCCAGTTTCACACGGTATGCAAGCAGCAGTATTGAATTCAAGCATTTATATTCTGTGCAGTCAGCTAAAAGCACATGAAACTGTTCATGAACTAAAAGCTCACCAAGATTCACACTTCCAGATACCTTTTTTCCCCCTTTCCCCTTACTTGAATCCATGAGAATGGGAAAGCATAATCTGAAACAGCCTTGGCAGAAATCAAAGTATAATTGGAAAAAATACAACACTGCATTATTTCTATGGCATAGTAAAGAGACTATAAATTGATATAAGTCCCCCTCCCAATAATCGTATCCATGTAATTAAAATATACACGCACAGAGAGAGAACAGAAGAGTTTGCTCCTTACTAGGAGCTGCTTGCCTTTGAAATCTCCCCTACCCTGGCTTATTTTGGTAGCTAGAAACATTAATGTCATAGCTGGAACAACTTTTACGGTTCCTAACACAGCTATGTTTGGAGGATTGCCACCAAACAAGCCACCAGCAATGGCCTAAAATTAGATTTATCAGCTGTGCTTTTGCTGTATTATATAGAATATACTTTAAACAGCACACTATTGCAATAATGGGCTTTCTTTTCCTGTACTGAACACAAGAAAAGACAGACTAATACAGATGGATGGAGTGGAAGGGGAAAGTAGCCCAAGAAAGCTTGGTATCAATGGACTACTTTCATCCAGATGAAATCCTACTGGATGTGTTTTTATACCACTTATATTCAGGAAATCAGAAATCAGGGACGCACTCCAGCCCAAAACATTCTTGTAAGGTAGTGGTTCTAAAACCAACTTTGACATCGCAACTCTGTCATAGGAACATCCTGAGGCCAGGAGAGAGGAAAAGAAAAGCGATCCAGTCTCAGAAGGCGAAAAGAGAATCTGAGCCTGCCTCCCTAGCTGTGGGGATATGGAGAGAGTAGAGCTGTCATATTTGCTCCTCTTCCCTTCAAAAAGAAAGAAAGTGGCTCAGCCTGTCAGTGACCAGCGAAAACCCTTATGGCATTCCATAAACCTGCACTGGTAGCAGCTAAGTGGGCTCTAGCCCGTGGTGCTGCCAGCAATGCCCGATTTACTCTGAGCCACAAGCAATATGGGAGGCAACAAGACCCAATCCACCACCAACCAGGTCTGAACCAAGGCCCAGCCTGTGTTGGCACAGTGGTGAACTCAGAACAATTGAGGACCTCTGGATGTGGGTCCTGCTTAAAAAAAAAAAAAGGACCAAGGACACTGGTTGAATTTATCTCCCCGCCTCCCGCCCCCACAAGCCTGCTCATGTTTCACTTTTAAGGAAAGGTAGCAATGATTGTGTGTTGCATGTCAATGAACTGCTATTTCACATGCATTCTAGAAAGAGGGGAAGAACTTCCCTTCTGAAAAAGGAGAGAAGTGTAGTGTGAAACATTTATAGTGTCACTAAACATGGCCAGATTTGCCTTCCCTTCTAGCACTGGAAGACTGATGATTTGCTATACATACGTTCCAAGAGGACATGAGTAAGCCTTGGGAAATCTAGGCCTGCATTAATACAAAGTTTTTTCTCCCCAAGAACACCAACTACAGCAGAGTTTTTCCATCTTAAGAAGAGAGAAAAGTGATCTAATTCAAATTAATTTCCTGTCTTCTCAGTTTTCCTCATGGACTTTCACCACAGCTTATGTACCACATTAGCTTGCAGCAGCCTGCACAACTGGCAAATGTGATTCTAGTAGCACATTTCTGCCTGCTTGTGTCAGGCCAAGAGCCACTATGGGTTAAAGTACAAAGCAGTGGTCTAGATTTATGGTGGGTCCCAACTCCCAAGGGCATCCAAAACTATTAAGGAGTTGGAACTTTTTCCCAAATAGGTAGGAACTTGTAGTTTAGAAAAAGATAACTAGCGGAGACGAACTTTATAAAATTATGTACGGTATGGACAAATTGAACAGAGAGAATTTCTCTTTCCTATTTGTATAAAACTAGAATTTGGAGCCCCCAAATGGAACTGGTTGACCATAAACTCAAGATATAGAAGAAGAATTAGACTCAAGGTAGAAAAAAGAAGAAAAGACAGAAAAAAATAAGTATTTAATACAGCAGAATTAACTACTATAGCTAGATTTGAGTCCAGGAGCACTTTAGAGACCAAGAAGATGTTCAAGGTGTAAGCTTTTGAAAGTTCAAAGCTCCCTTAGTCAGATACTTTGACTTTCAAACCAAAAATATTGTTGATCTCTAAGGTGCTACTGAATTCAAATCTAGGTCTTCTACTGCAGGCCAACACTGCTACACTCTGAACTATTATAGGATGTGAAGATGGCTATTAGCTTAGATAGCTTTAGGGAATTATGCATGGAGGACAGATCTATGCATACCTATTACCCAGGACAGCTAAATGGAAACTCCAGGTTCAGAGGCAGTATGTCCTGGAGAAAACAGTGAGGGAGAGCCAATGTCTTTCTTGCCATGACTATGGGAAATTCCTTAAAGTACCTCACTGGCCGCTGTGTGGAAAAGGAGATTGAATTAGATAGAACTTTGGTATGATTCAGAAAGTCTACTACTAATACACACCCCTTTATATCACTGTACACAGCATTCCTTGGACAGCAAAGGTGACAAACAAGCAAGTATTGGAGCGCATAACACCAGACATGTCATTGGAAGGAAAAATCATAACACTACAACTGACTTATTTTAGCCATGTTATGCAGAAGAACTCACTGGAAAAAGCAATCATGCTTGGATTGGTTGGTGGCAAAAGGAAACTGGGCCGCCAAAGAACATGATGGCTAGACACCATAAAAGTCAACACCAGCCTGAACATTGAACAACTCAAAGAAACAGTACAAGATTGGAAAATGTGGAGAGAGCTGGCCCATAGAATCGCCAAGAGTCAGATAGACTGGATGCAACTCCATATCGTGAGGGGTTGGCGTATAGACTGGATGCAACTCTGTATCGTGAGGGGTTGGCGTGATGTGGTCCATGACTGAATGGCTAACAACAACACAGTAGAAAGTAAATAACCTAGCAATATATTTGTCTGACACAAAATAAGAATCAAAACCAGGTATTATACTGAGGGGAAAAATTCAGCCAGCTAATACATCTTTTTTGCCAACTGATGTGTTATGGTTCTCTCAGCAGCACAACAGGCAGAAATTCAACATGTCCTACAACTACTTTCCTGGCATGCAGACTCATTAATGTGAAAGGGTGTTCCAGATACATTTTTGCCTCTCACAGAGCTCTGAAATGCAGAGTCTCTGTTAGGAAGAAGGATAACAGATAAGCTGAGCTATATAAGAGTTCAGATGGCTCTGTCATAGGCCTCTCCTTTACAGAGACAGGTTCTCAAACTCCACACTAAAAGAAATCTGACCTAACAGCAAATCCATGTTCCGTTATTAAGACACAGGGACCACTACCACACAGTTTTAATAAAGTCCCTACAACTGCATTGTGCAGCAAGTAGTTAAAGATCGCAGCCTGACCTACATTATTTTCACTATTACTTCCAGCCCTCTTTATGATGACCTTGTTGATCATAAAGTAAGCAAAACACTTACATATTGGGGTAGACTGAAATTCACAGACTTAATTTCCTCCCTTCTCAGTGAAGTGCATCCCTCCGACTTTAATATCACAGAAAGTGTGCATGGAAATATTTTATAGCTTCTCATGCTCCAGGTAAATACAACTGGTATGGTTACACAGAGTCTGAAAGCACCCGAGACTCAATCAGCTACAGCCCACTGATCTAGAAAACACTGTATCCCCATTTCTTAAGAAATAGCTTGTGTGTAACCTGAGTTTCTTCTGCACTCCCTTCCACTGCTGTTCCTTGTTTCTCAGTTGTTGGGACAGCAGATCCCCTGGAGTAGCAGGTGCATAGAACCAGTGAATGACCCAGAAGAACAAGCCACAAAGCGATGCTGGCCAATCCTAACGTTCAGGAAGAACATGCAACATACTACCTATTTTAAAAATGATTTGCTTCTTCCCAATACATAAATGTTCTATGATCAAATATTTTGGCATCGGGACACATTCGGACAATCCATTTCCCATGCATCTACCCAGAGAAAATACCAGCCCACAATAACATATGCTGTTTCTGAATGGTTAAAAAGAGCATCTTCCAGCTGCCAAAGGCCTGCTCTGAGAAATGAGGGGGCACTCTGTATTTATCAAATGCTTTTCAGGAACCATGAAAACAGCTCACTTGCAACAGCTAGCAAAACAGTTATCCAGCTGGGCAATGCTGCACGTCTGAAGTCACCTAAAGAACTGGGTCTAGTCTTACGTCCATCCCTCCAAAATACTTACCTTCATGGCTTCATAGGCATCATTCAGAGTGATGATATCATGCTTCTGGTGAGAGCCAGACACGGCACACAACACACAGATGATTTTTTCATGCTCTTTACAGTACAAGCTAAGATCTTCCCCATGCTCGTCACACTTCTTCCGCTCCAGCTTGTGAGCCTCTTCTTTTGTGCGGTCTTCCCCTGATCCATCTTGGCTGCCTGCCTGTCCCTGCCCCCCTGGAGCGACAAAATCAGTCATCCGGTGGGCCCTGTACTTCTGGCTGTGCTCCTCTGCGTGAAGTTGGCAAAAGGAAAAGCCACAGTCCTGGCAGATCTGCACGGCACCCGGTGCTTCATCCGGCTCACAGGCATCGCAGGTGCTATCTGGGGGCAACTCTTCCACATCGTCTGCAGAAGCCATTTCCTGTCGGAGCCTGACAAAAGGCCTACTTGTTCAGTCTCTAGGCTTCTGTGCTACTCACGATCTACTCTTGCAGCTTCCCCCTTTCGAACGACTACAGGCTTTCTCTGTTATTTGCTGGGAAGCCGTTGTCCCTTCAAATGGCTGTTTTCCAGACTTCAAGGTCCAGCATCTACTATCTTCCCATACTGAGCCGGCCTAGTTCGGTTTCCTCTCTCCAGCTTTCTTTCTACCCTTTATCTTACTCACTGCCGCCGGCCTGGGCTGACCCCCAAACAATTTAAAGGATCCCTTTTACTTAGCACCTCCCTCCCATTATGATTTTCACGAGTTACCCCGTTCGATTTTAAAAAAAATAATAAATACTCGTAGCAGTTTCAGTTTTGAAACACAGGCCAGGCTGCTTTTTTACTTCCTGAGTCACTTAAAGCGGCAATGCCTTTCTCTTCGTCCCGCCCCCTTTCTCTGCTGCAGATCGCGAAAGCCGCCAACCCGTGGCGTCTTGAAGAGGGATTTCCTCATCTGGGATTCATTAAGGTCACCGGGGGGGGGGGCGGGCGGAGAGACTCTTGCGGTGAGGAAAAACGTCTGCGTGTTTCTGTTCCCCGTTTAAAAGGCAGGCTTGTTCAGTCCATTATGAATGGTGCTCTGAGCCTAATAACTGGCCTGGCAATCGTTTAGAAAACCCTCCTTTGAAGTCAATAGAATGTCTTCTTTTCTCCCTGTATTGCACAAAGGGGAGATAAAAGTTCGAAGCCCATTTTTTCCCCTGGCTTCAGAGTTCATCGAAAACGAGCTATCATTCCAATAAGGAAGCAGTTTTTAATGCAGCTTTATTTTAGATGCAGGCTCTGCCAGTCCTGTACACACTTGCTTAGGAGTAAGGGTTGAGCAGCTAGAGGCGTGTGGCAACTACACGATGGCTTTCATTTTCCCAGGAGGGGGAAAAAAAGAGAAGAGCGCAGAATCCTGTTCTTACCCATCACTTCTCCACTCTGAATCACTGTCCCATCCAACACTTCTTTTTCCACGGGTGCTTTTTAAAAATACAATTATCAGGTGCCTGGTTTGGAGCAGAACAGAGGTATAAAGGGAGGGGTGTTTCAGCATTTACCCCAAACAAACCCTGATTCAGTAAATACTGTATATTTCTCACTTTTCAAGTGATATTTGCCAGGACAGATGGACCTTCTTACTTAGCTATGGTCTTTTTACCCAAGGGCGTTAGGGCAGGTGGAAATATATAAAAAGACAATAGGAATCTATGTGAAAGATAGAGGAAGGATCAAGCTGTGGGGAAACTTTTAAGCAAACTCCGGAGCACAACGGAAGACAGGAGGGCCTGGTGTGATGTGGTCCATGGGGTCGCGAAGAGTCGGACTCGACTGTGCAACTGAAGAACAACAACAAACTTTTAAAAGAGAATGCAAAAGGAAATCTAGATATATCTATAGAAACTGTTTCAGAGGAAGGGCTGTGACTCAATGATAGAGAATTTACTACAGGTCTCAGGTTCAGTCCCCGACATCTCCAGTTAAAAGGATCAGGTAGCAGGTGATGTCAAAGACCTTAGCCTGGAGAGCCATTGCCTGTCTGAGCAGACAATACTGACCAATTGTCTTCTGCTATGTCAGTCCCTTGGACTGCAAGAAGATCAAATCAGTCAATCCTAAAAGAAATCAACCCTGACTGTTCCCTGGAAGGCCAGATAATGAAACTGAAGCTCAAATACTTTGGCCACCAAATGAGAAGGGAGCACTCACTGGAGAAGACCCTGATGCTGGGAAAGATTGAAGGTCAAAGAAGACGGGGACGGCAAAGGATGAGATGGTTAGACAGTGTCATAGATGCAACAAACATGAAATTGAGCAAACTTCAGAGGACGGCGGATGACAGGAGGGCCTGGCGTGATTTGGTCCATGGGGTCGCGAAGAGTTGGACTTGACTGTGCGACTGAACAACAACAACATGTCAGTGATGTCCAAGAAAGAGATAGAGAGTCCCATGGTTCACTAAGCTACTAGTGGCAAAGGGCTGTTTGTCTTAAGCAAACGTCTAAATGTGCACAAAGCTGGTTTCTGCTTGCTTAGCATAGTGGAGAAGCTTGATAAACATGTCTCGTAATTGTGAGAGGCACACTGCTAGTAAAATAAAAGAAGCCATAAATCTAAAGCCCTTATCACTATTGCCATCTTTATCTAGTGCTCAGAACACTATATTGCACAGAACTTGACCCTCAGGCACTGTGGGATTGATCCTTCCAACAGGTTTACAAGGCTCTTCCCATCTTCCGTGTTGGTGCAGGCCTCTGCCATTCCAGAGGAGCCCTCTGTTTGACCTCTGAGGCTGACAGATGTTTTTGTGGTATGTAACTGTAAAAAAAAAGTGTTGTCTGTATTGCAGGAAATAACATGTTTTGAAGTGAACAAAGGAGGATAACAGATTTCTCGAGGTATGGTTGCCAGATTTGGGGGGGAGGGGGAAATTACATATAATTCTACTGTAACCCAGCAGAATCTACTACAGCATGTGCTCAAGAGAGCTGCAGTGTTCTAAAGGCTCATTATGTTCAACTAGGGCTATGGTGTCCTAAAATAACGTCTTATAAAATAAGCTATGCTTTGCAAGTGTTGATATGAAGTGAACGGTTTAAGATCTTTGTACTGCAGCTGCCTTTACATTTGGGTTTAGGCTTGGTTTGACAATGCAGCTGCCTGGCTTGACAACACAGCTAAAAATAATCCAACAGAACAAAGTCCAGTGGCACCTTTAAGATCAACAAAACTTGATTCAAGGTGTAAGCTTTTGTGTGCTTGTACACTACTTCAGATACCATGAAACTGATTCATTGTATCTCAAGAAGTGTGGGTGCGCACAAAAGGTTATACCGTGAATAAAACTTTGTTGGTCTTAAAGGTGCCACTGGACTCCAACTTTGCTCTGCTGCTTCAGACCAACACAGCTACCCACCTGAAAAATAATCCAAGTTACAGATCTCATTATTTCCAATTTTACCTCTTATTGATTAAAAAAAATAGACCCTGAAAAGGGCCACTGTAAAAACTTAGAAGTTTCAGAGTTTTGCTTTCCATGTAGTTAGAATTTTTGGTTATAAAAATATTGGGTGGAGCCCCAGTGCCCTAGCAGGTAGAACCAGAGCAGAATCTTAATTTCACTTGTTTATTTCCCCCCAGAAATCCAGAAAAGGACACTGTTTTAGTGGTCAGACAAGTGAAATACGAGTTGGTTAGGAACCTTATTTGTAACTGGTAAAGGTACAGGAGCTTTTTCAAGATCTTTTAGCTTATGCAGCAGAAGCCTATGGGAAGGAAACATCTATTGGTGGATCAAAGATAGCTGGTGACTATTCCTCTATATATAATAATAATAATGCTTTCGAGACCACTCTTTACCACATACCTGAGGGGGGCTCAGAGCGATTTACAGTTACTCATGAGACAGTTGGACTAACAAAATTTGTGGGGATAGGGAAGACAAACATACAGCATTAATTACACACACATTGCAGCTAGCTGGGCTTCATCTGCGGGCTGATTGTGTGTGTGTGTGTGTGTATTGATATATGATTGTAGATGTGGAAATGCTTACAGTGCAGTGCTGGGGGGGGGGACGGACGAATGCACTTGTAAAGCCCCCTATATGACCCTGCAAAGGGGAGCCAGGGGCAGAAAACATCCCTTATCATATCCTACCCCCCCCCAACACCATCTGTAAGTGTAAGCCATGTCTGGCCTAGAAGTAGACCAGAGGGTGGCCTGGAAATACACACTAAACCAAGATGGAGCAGAATCAAACAGTATGGTTTCTAGCAGCAAAAGAACAAGTCTGAACTTGCTATGTTGTGAGGGTGGCCCTAGGGCATCTGTCAGACTAATAATTTCCCCCCCATCCAAAATAAAGAGATATTTCTCTATCTATTGAGGCCCACAGGAAAGAAGAAATCCTATCATCTACCACCTGGCTCATCCCTTCCTGGTCAAATCACCCTAATCAATACACTATTCACACAACTGGGTAGCCTTTTCTTTCCCGTAATCAGGGATTGTCAACGGATCGTTAACTTCTCACATTCCTAGTCACATTCGAACAGAAACATTAACAGTTCCTGTTTGCCCCAAGAAATCCATTCATCCACACAGATGCAAAATGTGGCAAGTCTTTGTCATCTCCTGGGATCACTGATCCTATCAGCCTTCCTTCACCTTTTCAAACCCACATTTCTTTCATAACAACAGCTCCCCTCTTCCCCACCTAACACAAAGGAGGGTCATCAAGCAGCATTGTTTCTTTTTAATTAGTTTAATTTGATTAGTTTAATTAGCAATCTCCAGATCACCAGAGGTAAAGCAATCAGAGTTTCAACTCAAACTTTGTTTTACATCCAAAACACCTTCTAAGAACATCTCCTGTTCTTCTTCGTCTGTATCTGAGAACCCTACTGAATGTTCCCAAAGTCAGTGTTTTATCTTTTAGCTGATCCCATCAATTTTTTTGTTTCACAGGGCAGTCACGTTAATATGCCCTCAGGTACCATTTTTCCTATAAAAATAACATCCAGAGCTCAGTCTGTGTGTGTGTGTGTGTTTTTCCTGGATCCAAACTGCACACCCAAGATGCTGGACATCTTGCCTTTCTGAACCTTGCCTCCCCTGGACAGGTAGCTATTTTACCCCAATAAAAAGGTAAAGGTTTCCCTTGCTCCAAAGCTAGTCAAATCTGACTCTAGGGGGCAGTGCTCATCTCCGTTTCCAAGCTGAAGAGCCAGCGATATCCGAAGATGTTTCCGTGGTCATGTGGCCAGCATCAGGGGCAGATCTTTTGGGGCCCCTAAGCTTGAACTGTTATGGGAGCCCCTTTGCAACCAGCAACAATAGGGCAACTTTGTCCAAAGGGCCTTGCTGCCCTTGCAAGGATCTCAAGGCTCAAATGGCACAGAACAGGGTGTTGGGGTGGAGCCCTTGAAAATGGGCCATACAGTGAGCCCTTTCCCACCAGCCCTTTCCCACCCAGGTCTGGGTAACTGCTGTTATCTTCTTCAATGGGGTTATTCCACAGCAGAGCACCACATTTTTTAAAAAAAATTAACCACTGCATCTCAGATTTTGATTAAAATTGCTGTACTTGTGTGAATAAAAATTTCCTAGGCTATGCCTTATAGTTTTCAGGTTATGGGGGATGAAACTTAGGGAAACATATACATGCATGATGAATCATAGAATGATAAAATAAACCATAGCAAAGACCACCGTTAATACATTTTATTTTAGACACCTATGAGAATGAAGCACATTTTACAAAATACTATTTTTTCTGTTTTTTTCTAGCGACATATTCACATACAGTTTTGTCATACAAGAGCTTCCTTGCAAT